CCCCAAAACCCCAAAACCCCAAAACCCCATATTTATTTCATAATATTGAAAATGAAAGAAGGCAATAATAAAGAAAAAGCTGACCATACCAAAAGCTTTATGGCTCCTTCAAAGTATATGAGCAAGTAGGTTAGAATCTCTTTTTGTTCATGTAGAATCTTGCAGTATTTAGCAAGATTTACCTTAAAATTTCAACGCTGGAAATATAGATATGGGAATATTAACGATCATGAATATTCTTCGAGAATGATAAATAAAATGACAACTTTTTACTCAAAATATAAGAAAGAGACTTTGAAAGGCAGAAATGACAAATTAGAAATAATTAAGCCAAATTCAAAGTTCAAATCTTTATCTCCTTCCCCTCTTGGTCACTTTGACCACTCATCAATTATGCTAAATTTCTGAGAAAATGGTATCCTTTAGTTAACCTTGTAGAGACGATAAAATAAGGAGTAGAATCCAGTAAAAATAATGAATTTAGAATGTTTAAAAATATTAAGAACAAGAAGAGGATAAACAACACTATTCGTAAGAGTTTTCTAACCTATTAGACAGATATTATGCGCAACATTTTCAACCGAAAAGGAGTTTTAAAAGGTCAAAGAACTACTCAACTGTTGATGCTAGGCTCAATGAGCTTGAGTAAGCTTGCCTCTGACCATTAGCACCCCAGAATTTCTGGAGAGGAACAAAAAGAAATCAGACGTCTTTCTAATGACATGCACCAAAGTGTCCGATCCTAAGAAGGTATTTTTATTGTCCTCCCTTTTAGCTAAAATTTTAGGATATTTATGATTTTATTCAAAATTCTATAGTGGAGAAAGATGAGCACGTCCAGCCAAAACCAATATAGCAACCTGATAGGTAAGCCAAGATAGCTATTATAGACGATTATAAGTAAAAATGAGTCTAAAAATATGAAATTTAACCCAAAATTCGGCATGATGAATATGATGGAGAGAAAGAAAGAAAGAGAACTACAATATCCCGAAGAGTTTGGAAGCAAACTTCATTATAAGCTGCATAAGCCTAAGTATTATAATTTATGTATGATTTTAAATAATTTTTAGTGAATAAGCCATGGTCACCAAAACCAGGGAAGTCACCTATTATTCAAAATCTTCAGAAGTTAATACTAAATGGATCAAGAAGAAAGAAAAATACGATAAAAAGTAAGAAAACTTGATAATTTTGGATAATTTTTGACGAATAAATTAAAAATTTCAGAAAAGCAAGCAAAACAAAGTGACTTGCATGAAAAGTCTTCAGATTTTACAAATACTGGGACTGAGCCCAAGTGTTACACTCAGAACCCAAGGTTTGGATCTAATTCAGGGACACACAAAGAAATTAGACTGAGCACGATTCTACTTGGAGCCCCAAACAAGTTGAACAGCTTTGGATCATTTGTAAATTCAAAGGCGATCGAGGTAAGAACAACTTTGATCATTAATAGACACAAGAAGATATTATCGGCCCAAAGAAAGAAGTGAAGGTGGTTCTTCCTAATATTGACTTGAAATAGTTCCATTTTATTCCCAATAATTCTTTGGGGTTTTGGGGTTTTGGGGTTTTGGGG